CTGAAACCTCTCGGGGATCTGTGCAGTCAACACGATTTCCATAATAGTACTAAGATGTTATTGGTTGTTGCAAAGCAACTGAGGGTAGAACTGCTGGTGCCTTGGTCAAGGAAGTGGCCCTGAGTGTGCTAGTAGCCATTAAATTCTTCCGTGCTGCGCAGTCATGGTTTTTCTTTTTTTTTTTTTTTTTTTGAGACAATTTCACTCTTTTGCCCAGGCTAGAGTGAGTGCCGTGGCGTCAGTCTAGCTCACAGCAACCTCAAACTCCTGGGCTCAAGCGATCCTCCTGTCTCAGCCTCCTGAGTAGCTGGGACTACAGGCATGCGCCACCATGCCCAGCTAATTTTTTGTATATATTTTTAGTTGTCTGATTAATTTCTTTCTATTTTTAGTAGAGACAGGGTCTCGCTCTTGCTCAGGCTGGTTTCGAACTCCTGAGCTCAAACAATCCGCCCGCCTCGGCCTCCCAGAGTGCTAGGATTACAGGCGTGAGCCACCGCGCCTGGCCCACTCATGGTTTTTCTTAAATGCCATTCTTGCTTCAGATTGTCCTTAACGAAGCAACAAAAATTATTAATTTTATTGCATTTCAACCCTTGAGTACACATCTTTTTAGTATTCTGTGTGACGAAATGGAAGTGCTCATGAAGCGCTTCTGCACCCCCAAGTACAGCGCTGTCTCACGGAGCAGCGCTTGCGGGATTGCTCGAACTGCAAGCTGAACTGGCTGCTGGTTTCGTTTTTACGTAAAAGAATGACTGACTGTTGGGTGTTGAGGCTGGAAGTTAGACAGGGAACAGGTGTGGGAGGGCCTCACAGGCCGTGTTAATAAGCTTGGGGGACCTGACGCAGCCTAACTTTTCCAGTTTTATACGCTCCAGTCCTCACTCAAATCCAGTCCTTCACTCCTGCTTGCTGTATCTTCAGCACACAGTTCCTTTTCCCCTCTCACGTCCTTCCTCTTGTCATTCCTTCCACCAAGAGATGCAGTGACAGCTCTGAAGTGTGCTTGTGATCCCAGAATCAGAACAGAGGGAGAAGATGGGCTGGAATCGAGACCTTCTGCCTCTGGGACTCTCACTCCCCAGCCCTGTTTGAGGCCTTTGTGGATCCCCTGCTGGCACCCCTGCCAGCCTCCCTGCCAGTTTCACTGCAGCTGAGTGAGACATTGCATCTGCAGGATGCTGGCCAACCTCACCCCACACAGGACTCTTGGGGAAAGAACGCCGTAACCCCGTGCAGTCTCACAGACAGACCGCCCTGTGAGTGAGCTGATTTTACAGGCGGCTCCTTTCACCTAGCCTGTGTTAAATTTGACTCATGCCAGGCACGGTGGCATGCGCCTGGGGTCCCAGCAACTCAGGCTGAGGCAGGAGGAGTGCTTGAGGCTGCAGTGAGCCATGATTATGTCTGAATAGCCACTGCACTCCAGCCTCAGCAACACTTCTGTTTGTACCCTCTCCTTGTCTCTACGTCAGAAACCAGATCCACCAGCAGGTCAGGCAGAAGACTGTGGCCTTGTACCTGATACCAGAACTGCCGTGAAATAACACATTGGACTTTGGTTTGTAGCTCATCTTTCATAATGTGATAAAACACAAAATAGAATGCAATCTCAGAGCAAGAAGAATTGTCTGATAAATTAGATTTTAGATGAATAGAACATTGATAATGTGGTAATAATGCCTTTGTATTTATGTAATATAGAATGGTGCTGCCCAGCCTTTTGACATCACAGCACGCACCAAAAATAATACCGTTGTGCACACTTGAGTACCAGTGAGCCCTGGGACTGCAGGCCTGACGAGGGAGGGAGCCGTAGCTCATTCACTGCACATCAGCAGGGTTTAGGAACTAGAGGTTTAGAAACTAACTTTGTTAGTGCCCGGCTAGCTTTTACTGGCTACCCCTTTCTGCCTCTCAGCATTAATGTTTAAATACAGTATAATGGGTAAAAGCTTGAATTATGAGCCATGCTGTCTGGATTTAAATCCCAGCTCTGCCACTTACTAGCTATGGGGGCAAATCACTTCTCTTTGTACCTCGGTTTCTTCATCTGTAAAATCTAGATAATAATTATACCTACCTCATAGAGTTGTGAAGATTAAGTTAGTGCATGTAAAGTACTGTACTTGTTAGGTGGTAAGCACCTCAGAAGTGCGTACGTATGCTGTGACCATTCCTGCTACTGCTGTTGCTGCTTCAGAGACGTGAACGTTCTGGGGTCAGGTTGCCCACGCCCGTGCTCCTTGCCTCCTCCTCTGCCTCACCGTTCTGAATCTTGGCCACTTCCTCAGGAATGCCTGTTACGCTTCCTTTCAGTTCCTCGTTTTCCATTGATTTTCTCAGCTTTCTGTTTGCTTTGGAGCCTCAACGAGCGCATGACTTAGCGAGCGGCCGAGTCAGTCATTATACTCCTCAGCTTGCCCTCACCGCTGTTTCTTCTCAAGAGAGCTCTGTGGCTGAGGAAATAGCCCTTACCAGTTGGGAAGACCTCGAGGAGAACTCTACAGCGGCTGAGAGGAGCATGAGCTACGTTCGCAGGGCCGAGGTGGCCGACACAGTCGTGCTCTTAGTAGGGAAGGTGAGCGTCATTGGCATCACACCGCAGATGTGAGAGCTGGGGAGTTCTCTATAGGCTCTGTCAAAATTTGGAGTATACATCTGGTGACTTTGGGGTCAACGTGGCTCATAAGACTTTATTCAGAAATGATAGTTCTTTCAGAATATGGGCCTTGAGGTCACCTCTGGGGCAGCACTGTGGATGGGTACCTGCATGTCGGGAGTGTCTGTTGCCATTGCAGTCCTGGGTGAGACTCCTCAGCCCTTCCTGCTCTGCTCTGGGAGTCCTCTGGACCCCTCCCCGTGCAGGAGTCAGGCCGCTTCTTGGATCTGTATCCTTAACACCTAGGATGCCTACAGTAAAATTAGCTGTTGTGGTCAGGTTTTACTAGGAAACAAAAATGTGCATCCCTGTTTTAATGGAGAAAACAAGATAAACTTACGCCTAGGAATAGAAACATTTGTTGTTATTGATGATAATGGGACTGCTTGTGATCTGACTTGTCAACTTGAGTGATGGGCAGTGGCCCTCACGAGCCCTGCCGCCCCCACTGCAGTCCTCAGCCTTGGCCCTTCCTTAGTCTGGAGCGCTCTCTCCTGGGCCCCAGCCTGGCGCATCCCACTCCTCCAGGCAGCAGCATAGCTGTCTCTTCCAGCTGGGTTAGTGTCCTCTCCTGCTCCACAGCACCTGGTGCTTCCCTTGTCCTACTATGTCGAAACTGTTTTACATGTCAACATATTCAGATGCCATCAGGACAGAGACCGTGTCTCCTCTTGTAGTCTCACTGTCTGGCACTGGACAGTCAGGAGACACCCAATAAATACAGTATTGTTGAATGAATAAGTCAGTGGTGCTTTCACATCTGGTTTATTATTTGATCCTCACGGCAGCCTTGTGATGTAGGCAGCCCCGGCCTTCCTCTTACCTCGCTTCGTGTGTAAGGAAACTGATTGTCAGAGAAGCTGAGCAACCTGCTGCAGTCTGTGCAGTGGGGTGAGCCCCTGGCCCCCAGGCTCGAGTGTTCAGTGCATTTTTTTGTTGTTTTTACAAAGTATTTCCTTTTAAAAAGATAAAAATAAAAATAGCATGTGTTGTTTTTCATGATTATGAAATTAATATCTTCAGGGCACCAATGTTCCCTAAATGTTTTTTCATTGCTGAAGGTTGAATTTCAATATAGCAAAATCTAGACAAAATTTTAAAAGCTGTAATCAGATTCTAAATTCCAGGGCATATTTAGAGCAAGATTATCCTGTATTTTATTAAAAAATAAAACTTGGTTTAAAAATAATAGCATAAAAATAAATTTTACTGTACATGATTTGGAGAATACTGAAAACTATAAAGAAAAAAATAAAAATCATTTCTTCACACAGAGAAAACTACCCACTGTACATTAGAAATGGCCTGTACTAGAAAGAGCAGCATGGAGTTTGAATCCCAGTTAACCCACTAACTGGATGTGGGATAGGTTACTTAACCTACAGGCTACCTGGTCTGAGCCTGTTTCCTTACCTGAAATGTGGTAAAATATTTACCTTTTAGGATTATTATAAGAATTGGGAATAATGTATGCAAAATACACAGCACGGTGCCTGGCACATAGTTGGCTCTCTTTAAAATTGTAGTAGCCTTGACAGTTTTGTGTATTTCTGTCTAGTCTTTCTAGTCTATTGTGTGTTGCTGTGTGTGCATACATACCTGTGCATATGCATAAGTTTTGGAAGCACATTTATATTTAGTATGCCTTTGGGTCTTACAGCAACCCTGTAAGGGGGACAGGGCAAGTGTATCTTTAAGCGTATTTTATAGATGAGGAAACTGAGACTCTAAGAGGCAAAGTAACTTGGCCTTGGTACTCTGTCTGGTGATATCTGAACCAGGCCTTTTACCTTGGTCTGCTGATGCCAGCCCGGTGCCCTGCCAGTCAGCAGTGTGCCTCTTCTCCAAAGCCACTTCCACGAATATACAGACGTAGCGCACCGCCAGGCCCTGCCCAAGGGGAAGGCAAGGGCTGGGGGCAGCGGAAGTGCTGGAGCCTCCAGACCCGGGTCGGGGGTCCCCTGAAAACTGAAAAGAAGCACTCACTTCTTCCTTTAAAATAACAGACACACTGCCCAATCCTAAGCAAGGACCAGACTTCTGGGAAAGTTAAGGGCCTTTTGTGTCATAGGCCTTTTTTTGAGAGGGAGTTTGTCAGGGAATTCATAGAATTCCTCAGCTGAATTCCTAGAACTGAACAGCTATACTCTGCATTGTCTGCGGGGCAAAGGTATGCCCACATTTCTTTCGGCATGTGCACTTGGAAACCGGAGGGCCTGAGCAGCATGTACCACACCTGACACTTAGTTTGTGCATCAGTTCATGTCATTTCTATTTCAGTGCCCAGTTTCTGATGGCTGATATGTGTCTGACACTGTGCCACAAGTTGTAGGTGAGACAGAGGTGAGCAGGGCACAGCCCTTAGGAACATGGGGGAGCACTCGAGGCCAAGTAAAACCAGTGCTCCAATGGAGCTGTTCACAGGGTGTTCGGGAGCAGAGGGTGGGGCACCACTGCTAGTTCTGCTCAGTCATACCCTCTGTTTGCTCAGCGCCTAACTGATTTCCAAAGCGTTTGCACAAACCTTAAGTCATTTGGAGTTATCGGGGAGCTGCACAGGGGCGGGGACTGTTGAGCTGGGTTTTGTTTTTTTTTTCTTTGAGACAGAGTCTCACTCTGTTGCCCGGGCTAGAGTACCGTGGCGTCAGCCTAGCTCACAGCAACCTCAAACTCCTGGGCTCAAGCAATCCTCCTGCCTCAGCCTCCCGAGTAGCTGGGTCTACAGGCATGCGCCACCATGCCCAGCTAATTTTTTGTATATATTTTTAGTTGTCTGATTAATTTCTTTCTATTTTTAGTAGAGACGGGGGTCTCGCTCTTGCTCAGGCTGGTTTCAAACTCCTGAGCTCAAATAATCCGCCCGCCTCGGCCTCCCGGAGAGCTAGGATTACAGGCGTGAGCCACAGCGCCCGGCCTTTGAGCTGGGTTTTGATGGCCGAGAAGAATTCCCAGGCCAAGGGACGCAGGGGAGCCAAGGCGCAGCCTGCTTGTGGGCCTCCCCCCATGAGGAGGCACTTACCCAGTGAGTGCGCACGCGATGACTTAAGTTCCCGCGACCTGCTGGTGGTAGAGGAGTGTGTGGCCGGGCTCCAGATGGGGAACTATCAACCCCTTGATGAGATTATGACACCACTTCCTCCCCCCACGTAGACAGGGAAGTCAGGCATGTTTCTTTCACTTCAACATCTTCCTACATTTTTCCTTCCTAGTTTCAAAAACGACTCTCCTTCAACAAGTTCTGTTTCCGAGGAAAGTCTTAACCATTTGGCCCTTCTGGCGTATCCGCTTCCACTGAAATCCATGCAGAATAGACCAGGTACTCTATCTTTTTGTGTGTGAAACCGTAAAATCCAATATTGAGTGTGTGGCGGTGCTCGGAGGTATGCCTCTTGCACAAGAGGCTCCCTCAGCCCTGCTGTGGTAAAAGCCAAGTATAAATTGTCGCTAACAGGGCTCTCTAGTTGGAGTCATAAGTGTGTCTGAGCATCCCCTGTGAATTGTAACGCCGCCAGCTCCTGTGCTGCTGCCTGTGCTGCCTGCCTCGTGGCTGTTTTGCTTGTCCTGAGGCCCTCTATCAGAGTGTGGATGGGGGAAGGAGAAAGAGCCGAAACCCAAATCTGTCTGCCCTGCTCTCGGCTTGCAGCGCTGATGAGAAGATAGGTGGTGACAAGGGTCACCACTGGACTGCACACAAGGTCAGGGCAAGGGGAGCAGTGGTACCTGCTTCTCAGCCTGCAGCCCCTGTGGCCAGCGCCCCCTCCCTGAGCTCCTGAAGATGAGTGACGCTGTGTTTTATTTCTGTAGAATTTCTCCCTATGTTTAGTAAATGCATTTACGCAGCTTTTTTCCTTTCAGTTTACCTTGGCGAGGGCGGGTGTTCTGATGCTTAAGTGCCAATGGTTAAGTTTAATTCTTTGAATTCATAGGGTGTTGCAGTCCTCAGATATTTCTTGTGCTTGAAGCTGTTGGCTAGAGTAATATTTTGAGATCCTCTGTGGATTCCTTTTATCCATGTGTTTATCTGTTCTCTCTTCTAAAGTATATTTGAAAATCCACTGTTGTCAGGTCCCCAAAATGGAAGGAAGACTGTGGCTAAATGGAACTGGCAGACACGTGGCTGCTTAACCGTGCTTTCTGGATCGTGGCATTGGAAAGTGCCCTTCCGTGTGCTTTCTCCTAATGGCTGTTCGTACTTGCCTCTGAACAGCACACGAACGTGCATCCGCACTAATCAATCTTCCTAGCAGACTTGCCATTTCTCTGGTCGTGTTCAGCCGGATCCTCTGAGAACAGAGTGGGCCTTTCCCTTCAGCAGGCAAAGAGCCAGCTTCCATTTTAAAATCTCTCAGAAAAAAAGGAAAAATACCCAACAACCCAGAGCCTGTGTTTATTAAAGGTTGGTCTAAAAGTCTCTCACATCCTATGCCCCATCAGTGCTCGAGTGCCTCTATTTTAGAAGGATGTAAAGGTTTAATCACCCTGGTGGGGATTTAGACCCAGAGACTTCAGAGAAATCTTATTATTTCTAACTGCAGGCAAAGAGTATTAAGGCTCCACTCTGGATCAGGGGCATGACATGTTCTATAAGTAATTTATCTTTAACAGGGGAAGGCCCATGCTAGAGTGTCTTAGAAACAGGACGATGATTGGGCACTGGCTCACTGTTCCTCCTTTTCTCCTTCCCTGTCTCCGTGTCCTGCTTATTCTTTCTGTCCTGACCCATCTGTCCAAAGTCTGAATGCCTGCCTCACAAATCCTCCCTCTAAGATGGGGAACCAGGTGCTTGCCAGCGAGAGATAATAATTTTTTTGCAGTAAGTGACCTCATCCAGCAGCCTGGCGTGGAACTGTCAGCTGCAGACTTCCTTATGGGCTCTACCTGCAGCCCTTCCAATCCAGCAGCTGGGGAGAGGAGAGGATGCTGTGCGCTCCGCGTGCACGCAAGTCTGTGCTCTTGGACGTGAAGTCATTTGGGGCTATTTTCAATCCCATCCCCAGCCCTATTGTTACCTTCACAGAGGCAGTCTCCACTGAAAGCCTTTTGCACCCCTGTGCATAGCCAGGGATGTTACTGAGCCTATGATTTTTTCTGCACGGCCCCCACTTCCACCCTCCTTCCTGCCTCGCTCCCTGGGTCCTGCCTTTCTGGCACCGAGACTGGAGGATGTTGGGGACGGGGTTCTGCCTATGGATTCATTGTTCTGTGTGGGAAATATGGTTCGACTGGTGACAGATCTAAATCCGTGTGCTAATAAGCTTGGTTAAAGCGGGCTTCTGCTGTCCTCTTTTAATCTAGCCTGCCTGTCGGAGCTCCTTTCCACAGTTAATGATCTCCTATAATGGTTTTGCCTTTAGTTTTGCCTCCTGGGTCAAAACAAATCAATAGTCCTCACAGATATTTAAAAACCATCAGTGTAAAGCTCCTGGGTCCCCCCATCCACCACCTTTTTTTCCTTCTGGGTAAATTTATAGCTTGATCAGTACAGTGATGTTTCCTTTACATCTCCTCTTATCTCCCAGAGATGGGCAGCAGCGAGCCCCTTCCCATCGCAGAGGGCGACAAGAGGAAGAAGAAGAAGCGGAAGGCCCGGGCCACTGACTCCTCTCCAGGAAAGTTTGAAGGTCGTTCACACAACCCTCCTAGACCTGGGTCCGTGGCTCCCAAGCCCAGGAGGAATGTCCCCATAGCCCATACATCCAGACCCACAAGATGTACCGTCTTAGAGCCAGCTAGTGGTTACCTGTGTGACAGGGAGGAAAGATGGGATGAGGGAGTTTGTGCAAGGGAGTGACAGAGAAAGAGTGGGAAGGCTCTCAGATGATGCCATGGCATCCTTCGCATGGCTTGAGCACCTCGCCAGTGGGCTGCAAGACCAGTCTATGCAAGTTGTAGATGGAGTGAGATGCCTGTGGTGTCCTAGCTGCTTGTCAGATGTGACTCTTCCCTCAGCTCTTCCTGGAGGGGCTGCCGAGGGGTAGAGCAGCCATGAAAGAGGAGAGAGAAACGCCAAGGGAATGGCTGCAGGTGAGACTTCAGTCTCCTGGAAGCAGAGGATTTGCCTCTCAGAGACTGCACTACTTGTGCTGTGTTTGAGCCCATTTTAAGGAGCGCATGTTGTGTTCAGGGGACACGGTATGGCGTCATCAGACATTTTTGGACATTCTGCGTGCGAGGCACTGGTTCAGTCCTGTTATCACTGGGCATGTGATGGGCAAAGCGAGTCACTGGACACGTCTACAAAGGACTGAAAAGATCAGTAGCTGCTTCTAGGAGTAACACATCCCCTCCATCTGTTTTGTTTCTTTCATTGTGAGACCCGAAATAGCTTCTCCCCGTGGTCCCTGTTTGCAGCCTTGCAGACACACGAGTGAGTTGATTGTTTTGTAGGTGGTTCTAATAACAAGCTCTTTATGAGTTAGGAATATTGGACCTCCAGCCACCTACCTATTCTGATATGTGTAAAGAGCTAATGCCAAAGTGTGCACTGTGGGAGAGGTATGCCGTTTAACTTTCTCACAGTGTGCCCCCTGTTCTTATGAACAGCGGCAAGACCAAACCATGATGGAACCAAGAAGGCGCTTGTGCAGAGCGTTTTGTTTGCCGTTAACTCAAACAGTAGATGTGTATATGGTGGGGGTTGGGAATAGGGGTGGGGGGAGACAGAAGTCCCAAGGGCTTTAGAATAGTTTCCAGATCAACAGGTCTTTTGCTCTTTCATTGAACACAGGAGAGTATTTCCTGTTATTTAAGGATCACTGTGCAACAGCAGGATTTCTAAGAGTGATAAAATCTAATGCCATGGTTTACAAGTCTTCTGCTCAGGCTGTGGGTTTAAATGCTAGGCTGCCTCAAGAACAGTCTGCAGAGTGGAGGCAGAGGGAGGATGGGTCAGCTCGGCAAGGGCTGTGTTGGAGATGTGGCTTCCTTTGCAAGGGGCTTGAAGAGCTGTGCTGTTTGTGAGCTTCGGCAGGTCACCTGAATGTTCTCTCAAGCCAGGCCTGTTACTCTGTTAGAACCGCTATGACTCAGTACCCCAAAAACCTCAAGGCACCTTTGCATCCTACTTCTGTCTCTTATTTCCTGTGGGTGACTTCTGGAAACTTCTCAGAAACCTCCAATGACCTCCATTGTATGTGGTATAAAATAGAACAGTGTTTTATTCCCCTTGGTATCACCAGTGCTTAGCATAGAGCTTGGCACATAGTAGGTGCTCAGCAAATGAGTCAATGAATGACGTTCATTCCAATTATGCCCCTTCTATGAAGATCCTCCAGATTCCCTGAACAGATTTAACCTCTTCCTTCCCCTGCTTTCCTTTTCTTTTTTTTTTTTCCTTCTCTTTTTTTTACTGTACCTTGTCCCTCTGTGAGAGTACTTGCCAATGCGTGGTTTATTCTGGGGTCACTTGTATCTGTGTCTGTCTTCCCCACTCGGCTGTGGCCATTAGAGGGGAGGGACTATATTTTATCCCTCACTCTGTCTCTGGGACGCTCTCTAGCACATAGTAGGTGCTTGGGAAGCATGTGCTGAATTGAAACCGTTCACTGGCCTCATCTCTAAAATGAGAACAGGATGCTGTGTGGTCTTGTTGAGAAACTGAGTCCTGAGGTGGCAGAGAAGGCCATACGTCTTCCTCGTCACCGAGAACTGCAGCGTCAGCGGGTGCCTGCTCTGCCTGTGTCGTCTGACTGAGGAAGCCGAGTGACAGCCACTCGTCTTCCCATCTGAACTCGCAGTAGGTGACTCATCCTGTTATCCCTCTCACCCATTTCGGCCCTAGATGTGTACAAGTTGACCTCGGAATTGCTCGGAGAGGGAGCCTACGCCAAAGTTCAAGGTGCCGTGAGCCTGCAGAATGGCAAAGAGTACGCTGTCAAAGTGAGTGTCTCCTCTGCACGCCAGGCTTTACTTTGCACATAGTCTTTCTTTGCACATAGCTTATCCCAAGCCAAATAAATTTTATATTCCTTTAGAGTGGGGGTTCCCAAGCTGTATTCACTGGATTCAGATCTTGGTTTCTCTACTTACTCGCTTGCTTGCTTTGTTACCTTGGGCACGTTACTTAACCTCTCTGTCCCTTAGTTGCCTCATCTGTCAAATGGGTGTAATAATAGAACCTATATAGAATTGTCCTGAGGATTAAATAAGTTAATATGTGTAAAGTGCTTAGAACAATGCCTGGCTCATAGTAAGCTGCTTATTCTGACAAACCAAGTCAGCTTCAGGGAGTGGACAAGATTTGGAATTAGAAGGCCAACCTGAATTTCTGTTTTGACAAAATATTACTGTTTGGCTTTGGGCGAGTCATTGAGCCTCCTTAAGCCTCAGTTCCTATATCTCTAAATGGCGATACCTGCTCTTTCTGCCTCATGAGGTAGTTATGAAGATAAAAATAAAAATGCACCGGTATAGATAGAAACACTTTACCAAGTGGGAAATCCTATACAAGTGATGTGCATTATCATGAGAATGAGGATTAAAAACTAGAGTGACCGTGCACTCAGCTTGGGGCAGGAAAAGTGGCTTCCAGCCTCATCCTGGCCTTTGATGTGCTGCGTGACCTTGGAGTGGCTCGTTTCACCCCTCTGCTTCCATTTGCCCGCTCCATGCGGAAGGAGGCCTGGATCCAGAACGCAGTTCTCAAAATTTGGTCCCTGGACCGGCAGCATCAGCATCACCTGGAAACTTGTTAGACGTGCAAGTTATCTGGCCCTAGCCCAGACTCACTGAGTCTGAAACTAGGGGTGGGCCCATCAATATGACGTTTAACAAGCTCCCCAGGTGATTCTGATACTCACTAAACACTGAGAGCCACTGGCGTAGGTAGGGTGGTTTTAAACTTTGGTGTGTATCACAATCACCTGGGGAGCTAATGAAGCCCAGAGGTCCAGGTTTCTCAACACAAGATTAGGCTGGGTCTTTATAGTTTCACCAAGTTCCCAAGTGATTCTAATACCCACCAGAGTTTGAGGACCCCTGATCTAGAGAAAGGGTCTTGTTAGATCCAAGGGGGCAATTCAGGCCTATTTCAGATCATCCACCTGAGCCGCCAGGGCTAAGTATTGCCTCGTGCAGCCAAAGCGCCTCCAGAAAGAAATGTTTTCTCTTCTTCTAACAGCTTTCCACAGTCCCAGCTGTGGATTACAAAGGAGAACACTTCTGCTAAGCCATGTTCCTTTTTGCTGGAGTATTGTTTCACATGGTAACAAAAGAGCTATCTCCTTTTTGGAAACAGATCAGTATAAATTACAAGTAATTTTTTAGGACTAAGCCAAAATGTGGTAAAAACCACAAAATCAGAAATTGATTTTCAAAGGTTTGAATACATTTATGGGTGAGAGGGATCTATTTCTTCAAGGCTGGATCTCAGGAGGAAAACCTGGCCCTCCGGCCATGCCCCCCTGGCCTCTTTGAGCCAGCACTGGACCCTACCTTGGCAATTCTTTGGTGTCAGCAGTTGTGCCCGTGTCCCATGTCTCCCCTGTCCTTTGAAAGCTCCCTACAGGTGGGCTGCTTCTCCTAGTGTGGGGTCCGCGTCCCTTGTCTTGTCACAGCTTTTCCTGTAGGCACCCAGGTGATGAATCCTGGAGCCTCAGGCTTGCAATGGCATTTCAAGATAATCTGATCCTGAATTTCCTCTGTGGCTCCCCAAACAATTGTCCATGTTCTGCTCCCCCGTCTTTAGTAACGAGAGTCCATTACCTCCTCAGAGGAAACTGTGCTGGAAAGCTTGCCTGCCAGAAAGTTCTTCCTGACTGTGATCTGAAATGCTTGGTGAATGAAGCCGAATAGCTTGGAGTTGAATAGCTTCTGTTCTCTAGCACTCTGCTTCTCTGCACAGAAAATGGGCCCACCGTGGTTTACTAACAGATGCAGACTTATTTAGAAAATTATAGCTGGTGATGGTTGTTTGTGCTACAACATACCAGAGAAATTTGAAGTGTTCTACATAGCAGTGTCTGAATGAAGGAGAAGGATGCCGTCATCTGTGTTGCTACTTTGCACGTGTGAGCTGCAAGGCAGAGCCTTGCTCACAGGTTCCATTTGCAACAGTTTGGGACTCTGGATGGGTCCAGAGAGGTTTCCAGAGGCAGCCAGTCCCTGCATAAACCACCTGCTCATCTGTTGGCTTATCCATTCCTTTAGACAAGCACCTTCATCAGTCAAGGTATAGGCGTGGAGGGGAGCAGCGCACAGTATCACGGGAGAGATAAAGTCTCTAGGTGGTCCAGGAAGCTGTGCAGGGTCTAGGCAGGTATAGGGTAGCAAGGGTTTTGGAATCAGCTCCACGCTATGGGCAAATGTTTCACATCTTCCCATCTTTTGATGTTGTTGTAGATATTAACTGAGCTTATGTAAATAAATTACTTAACATAGTGCCTGCCAAAGAGTAAGTTCTCAGAAGAGAAAGAGTGTGCTTCTGCTGGGAGGAATTGTAGAGGCAGCGTCTGAGCTGCTGTCCAGCACTGAAAGAATCTTCCATAGAGGTGGTAAATGCTACCCTTACGGCAGAAAGAGATGCCTTGGGAGTCGGAGCTAAGTAGAGACAGTTCTTTATCTTGCTGGCTGCCTCAGTCTCCCCTGGGCAGCTGGGGGCAGCAGCCTCAACACTTCCTTGGAGTTGTGCCTGGCCAGAGTCTAACGGGCTCAGCGGTCTGGGAAGCCCTCGGGCCAGTCTGTTGCTTTGCTGACAGAGCCACAGTGCCTGAGTCACCAAGACCTACTCCAGACTTCTGCTCCAAACTGAATTTGGACTGGATGTGGCCTTGCATCTCCCAGAGGGCTCCTGGCAAGGGACCGTTTTGAAGTCAGGTGGGTGTACATGATACATTTTATTTTTCCCACAGATCATCGAAAAACAAGCAGGGCACAGTCGGAGCAGGGTATTTCGAGAGGTGGAGACGCTCTATCAGTGTCAAGGAAATAAGTGAGTATAGTATGGGGTTACTTGCTGCTTCTCTGGGGGTTGTTTGGCTGCAAAAGAGGAGGTTATTTCTTACCATCTCCTGACCCCAGCAGTTGGTGCTCACACATGCTCCCCCTACCCACATGAGCCTCCTGCAATCCCTCAGTGAGAGGGAGAGGAGGGCAGCAGTAACAGCAAAGATGCTGTCTTCTCCTCTGAAATACTGGAATATCAGCAATTCAGGCAAGTTAGGAGAGTGACAATCTGAATCAGTGACTGGTGGGGAAAGAATGGGGTTTTCTTTCTTTCAAGTACCTGTGGAAACTAGGCTGAGTTTTGCCTGGCCAAATCTTTAGGGACCTGCTTTAATACTGAGATGAGGATGAGGCACACTGTGAAGAATATTTGTTGCTGTTTTCTGTTCCTAGCGTATCTGCGTATGTGCAGATACCACTAAGGTCCTGAAACCTTGTCTGACACTCCTTCTTGCTAAGTGGGCCAAGGTAATCTCTAGCCCGACTTGGTCTGCCCACCACCAGCTCCAAACGAGTGGCTCTCCCACTGTGGCTTTAAATCAGGGTCACCTCCAAGACTCCGCTTCCCCCTCTCTCTCCCTCCATGGCAGGGTCAGCAGGGAGCCAGTGGCCTGGTATTGATGGCTTTGTCATTAAGCTTACGGGATGGGGCTGCTGTTGATTTAACTCCAGGCACTGCCTCTACAGTCTTTCAAATTAGGCCATTTTGCCCGTCTTATTTGGACGCCTTCACACTAGTAAAAGCCTGGTATCTCCCAAAGTGGTCAGCATTTTTTTATGAGGGACAGGTTTTTATTTTCAGCCCTACAGCTTCTTAGTTCAGCATTACAGACTCTACTTGGTTTATTTTGTTCTTTAAAAGGAAAAAAGCCCCCAACACCTCCAATATCCAGGCCGGTGGCTTCCCTACTGAGCTACAAGACGACCTTGTTGGCAGAGCACTGCAATACTCAGGCAGACAGAGAGTGCTCACCGGGGAAGGCCACAAGTGCTACGGCGGCCAGGAATGCGGCCGTTTCATTAAGCAGCGCTTAGCAGTTAGGGTCTAGCGGTGCCCACGTTAGGCCCCAAGTCTATTTGACAGATGTTTCCATTTTCTCCAGGCAATGTAAATACTGCCCCATGATTTATGGGCAAGAGGGAGGGCAAGTAATTATTTGCTGCTTGCCTCCAGGACACACACCTACTATTCAGTGTTATTAGCCGCAATTGCTTCCAGTCGGCTGCAGATTTTATTCAGTTTAATGTGACCGGGACTTTTTTATAACTCTACCTAGTGGGTTTTAGGTCTGGGGTTTGACAGCACAGACTTGGTGAAAACACCAGAGACTAAACATTATGGAAAGATAAGGTGACCTGAATCTTGCTAACACCATTGGCTGCTTCCACACGTGGGTCTTTAATAAGCATTCTGATCTCAAGTTGATTTCTGCCCCGCTACAGGGCGTTGTATATTTTTTTTCATTGTATATTTGTAAGTAGACTTTAATATATAATACCATTTCCCCCCCTTTTCCTTCTCCTCCTATTTTCCCTATTTAAGGAACATTTTGGAGCTGATTGAGTTCTTTGAAGATGACACAAGGTTTTACTTGGTCTTTGAGAAATTGCAAGGAGGTACTTACTGTCGAGTATGTGTTTGGACTTCTGATTAAGACGCAGGGTGGTGATCATCCATCATGAATCCCAGAGACTTCTAAAACGAGTCAAGCTAATAAAAAGGATGAAGGACTTAAAAACTGCCCTTGATTTGGGAGAGGGAGGCCGGAGGGAAGGATGATAATTAGCATTTTGCAGAGCTTAGAATGTCACCTGTGTGGGCATTTTATAAATGCCTTTCATTATAATAGGAGTCATACATAGATACATTTAGTCATCAATTTATCAATCCCCTATTTTGACACATTCACTATTTAACTAAATTAATTACGGGGTGGAAGCTCTCAAATACACTGTGAAGTTTAGTAGCAAAGGCTAAAATGGGGGAGAGGACAGCCCATTGTTTGGGACACAGACACAGGATGGAGGGGGAGGCCTGAGAATGTACCATCCTTCAGATGGAAGGGTGCCACCACCCACACATAATCACTGGGTGTATATTTAAGTTGCTTTTCTGACATGATGAAGGGGATGGAGAAGCCCTTTCCCTCCCTGTCACTCCCCCAACCCTAGGAACATTTGCAAGGTGTAAAGGTTGCAGGGATGTCTGGAGCTGAGCGGAGGGCTGCACAGAGGGGCTTGTTTTAGAAACCAGCACAGGCCAGGCACAGTAGCACACCCTTGTAGTCCCAGCTACTAGCAAGTCTGAGATAGGAGGATTGCTTGAGCCAGGAGTTAGAGGCTGTGGTGAGCTGTGATCATGCCACTGCACTCCAGCCTGGGCAACAGAGCAAGACTCCATCTCTAAAAAAAATGTCAAGTAAAATTAGTTAATTTTTTTGTTTTTAAAAAAAAGAAAGAAACCAACACAGCTAAACTGAAGTCTAGCTCCATCAGTTGCCAGCCATGTGACCTTGGGCAAGTCACTTAACCTCTTCCAAACTCTCATCTGCAAAATAAGAATTGATAGCACCTAACTCATGGGGTTGCTGTGAAGATTCAACGAGATAATTCATGTGGAATACTTAGCACAGTGCCCAGCAGGCACTAAGGGTTCAGTAAATGTCAGCTGTTAGTATGATTAAAACAGTTGGGTGTGCTGGGAGCTGTCTTAGAAGTATGGAGAATGTTACTGTCTGCCTTTCCTTTTAACAAATTTGGAAACAAGAGTCTCACTACAGCAGAGCAAGCTAGGGCCTAGTCAGGAGCCAGTTTTCTGGGAATGTTCCCTAGCATGTTGGAATCCTTTGATCATTTAATCTGGCAAGTGAAAGATCCTTGGCAATCCTTCCCCTTCTTTTCTCATCCCCTCCCTTTGCCAAAAAAAAAAAAAAAACACATAATAAGTAAAAATGTGCCATTTTTAGGACACAAAGATGATGCCTTCAGCTGAGAAATACTGGCTTCCAGTAGTGAACACAGACCACATGAAGCCAAGCCACATGTTCACACCTGTATCTGCCCAACATGGCCCAGCAACCCAGGACTGAGTGTCACACGTTTGAAATGCCAGTTGCAGCTGGGGGCCTCTGTGGCCGTATCACTTAGCATAGTTCTACTGAGGCCAGACCCAGGGGATAAAGAGAATGTGGTTGGCTCAGGACAGTCCATCCCCTCAGCAGTCGGCTCACAAGCCCTGCCGAGGGGAAGTCTGCTCGGACTCTGGGGACTCGCTGTACTGAGCCCAGGTCCTCGCTTCACCATCTCCTTCCTGGTCTGTGAGTTGGGCGAGTTGCTTAACCATTTTTGGCCTCAGGTTCCCCATCTATAAAATGGGGATGACTATACTACCCATTTTGTACAATTGTGGTGAGAACGAGACAATTTATTTAGAGAGTATTGCATAGTGCTTGGCACTAATACTCAATAAATGTTAGCCATTGTCAACAAAATAATAATAATAATAAATGGGAAAGTTCAGAGCAAAAAGCAGTTGTCCCCCTTTTTCCAGACCTTTACATATCTGGGGAGGGTGTGGCACTTCCATTTGAAGGCTGTGCTCTTTTTTGGGTCTGAGGTCAGATGGAGAGGAGAAAATGTTCCTGCAGAGAGGCCCTGTCACCTCCACACGCATTCACTTTTAATTCCTTTTGATTTTAGAAGCCAAATCAGCCCCAGTGGCATTAATATTTTTTGGCTATATAAATAGCTGTTCTCTCTCCCTTCTGAGCTCCTCATAGACAGATGCAGAAGCTAGCAGTACATTTCTGTTCAACAGACATGTGCTGGTACCTCCTCTGTGCCAGGCACCACACGTGTTGCTGGACGTTCAGTGATGAATAAGCCTATGTCCGCACCCCAAGCTTGTGAAAACTTGGCCTCTAAGAAGTTATGCCTGCTAAAGCCTGGAAAGGCATTCTTCTGTGTTCCCTCTGCTTCCCAGGCTCCATCCTCGCCCACATCCAGAAGCGGAAGCATTTCAATGAGCGAGAAGCCAGCCGAGTGGTGCGGGATGTTGCTGCTGCCCTTGACTTCCTGCATACCAAAGGTAACCCAAGCCTTGGCTTTGGTGGGTGGCTTGGGCTGGCCAGCCTCTGGGTACCAAGCGAGGGGGCAGCCAGCAGAGGGTTCCTCCAGGCAGTGGTGATGTGAACATGCTCACCCACAGCAGGGGCTGGGCGGGGGCGGCAGTACAGGATGCCTCTGATCGTCTGCTGTGGGTGGAGGGTAGATGGTAGAGCTATTCAGCAGGATAGGGATACAGGAGAAAGAGCAGGGAGGAAAAAGAATAAATTTCACGTTGAACAAGGTATGTTTGAGTGTGTGTATATGTTACCATGTACATGAATGATGCTCCTTTTCTTTTCCTGATGAAGAATATAAAACTCTTACATAATACAACCATTCTAGCATAAATATATCGGTGCTACTCTTTCTAGTCTTTTAAAATACATCACCTGTATCTCTCTTTTCAAAACTGGAATGATGGGATATATGCAGTTTTATATATCTTGTTCACAGGAAATGAAAAAATACATTTTTCTATTAATCTGTAAGTTTGAGATACCTGTTGAACATCACAATGGTAACTAGCAGGCTGCCTTTGTTTGAATTACACTTTGGTTTACGGTCCCTTTCCTAGGACTGATTATTCAAGAACTTTTGTAGTGAATTAAATCTTTTTGCAAATTAAGTGTTTTTGTATTTCCGTAAATGTTTGACTGTTACATACATTTTTTAAAAATTTGCCTAACAGCGGTGCTATGGAAAAATCCTTTCTTCCAGCTATGTGCTCCCTCAGTAGTTGTGCCTGCCCCACGTGAGAACTGAGAGAGAATGATGTCATCCACAGTGGCTAACACGTGGATAGCACTTGTTAGGGGCTAGGCACTATTCTAAGCCTTTTATAGGTACGAATTCATTTACATACTCGTGTGTGTAAGCGTAGATGGAGCATGGTTCCTGGCACAGAGTAGTTCTTCAACAAATGTTATTTCCTCCATCCTCATCCCCCACTAGGCAGAAAGCATTTTTATTCCTAATATTAATATTAAACCTCTTACTAAAGCATTCTGCCTACTGGGGCAGGGTGGGGGGAGCAAATAGTTTGTGACTTAGGTCTACTCCCATTGTGGATATTGTCAGCAACACTAGTGCGTGCTCAGGACCAATCGCAGGCATGCGGCTCACACATCCCACTCTGGGCCAGCATCCAGTGCGAACTGGCATGGCTGCGCGGGGGGGTTCAGGTTCATCAACCCACCTCCCTTCCTCCAGTGGCTGAAAGAGATCTGTGCACTGACAGTGCCCATGCTGGGGCCCTGACTCACGCCTAGGATGGAAAATCCTGGAAGGGGGAGTCTGTCCCTTCCACAGCATGATGAATAGCAGCAGTTCTGTTTCTGAAAGCTGGGATGCATGTAGGTAACACCTGCCTGACAAAGATTTACAACTGCTCCCCAAGCTGCCTCTATAGATTGCAAAACTGGGTCACGCTTTTTACAAGATCCATACCTTGGAGGGGGTGGTAAAGGCGGTTTTATTTTTTATTTATTTATTTATTTATTTACAAGAATACACTAAAGGGAACAGAGGCTGGTGGTGTCTGAGGGGGTCTGAAGTGCTTGTTAACATCTAGCTGGCCGGCTGCCCATGTGACTAGAAGTTGGAGGGGATGAAAAACGATTTCCAGCTGAACTTGGCTGTTTTCTAAATAACTTCACCACTGGGAAGATGAATTGGGCAAGAATGGGTCAGGCCTGAAACAAGTTCCATACTTTTAAATACTGGACACACTGCAGCTTAACCTCTGGGAAATGAACCGGAGCGGCTCGACGGCCGGTGTGCTCACACAGCAGACCCATTATTACCGCCGGGCTCTCTGAGTGCTCAGGCTGCGGGCCAACTGGGCCACGGGCACCTATTTGGAGAGTAAGGCTCCGTGCGCGCTTCGTGATCCTTCTGTGGGAGCACTTGCTGTAATGGAAAATATCTTTCACTTTTAGTATGGCGAGCTGCAGCCCGACTCAATTTGTGCAGCCTGGACTGAGTTGCTCTGGGTTCTCATTCAATTAGGTGACTGATGAAGTTACTTAGCTTGCTGGAGCTCAGGTTTTTCCTCTCTAGTGAGGTGCCTCAGGTGGGCGGGGCTGGGCCTTTGCCGTCCAGTAGGGAATTGGAGGGCCGCAGGACAAGGTGATCATCGAGGGAGTTCTCGGGAAGAAGAGTCTGCTTCTCCTCATCACCTAGGAACCCTCTGCAGCTTTGCAGTACTTCCAAGCCGTAGCTGTGTGACTCTGGCTCAGCCTCCCAGCTCCTTTGTCTCTGTGCTGTGCATGCTGCGGAAAGAAAGGGAGGTTTCTGTGTCCTCCACCATGGCCCCTCTGACTTGGTTCTTTGTCCCTTTCTTTGGTTGGAAGAAGGTTCTCCCCCAGCTGCCCTCCTGGCCAGCTCAGCAGGTTAAAAGCTCACCCCTCTTGGGCTAGGCTGCTATTTCCAGTCTCCTTCAGGATGCCTGGCCAAAATGCAGGGGAGTTATCTCTTAAGAACAGCACCCTCGAGCCAAAGCAGGCCTTGCTCCACTGCTGGCAGGGCTGCCTGGGGCGTACAGAGCAGGGGAAGAGGCAATCGGACAGGCTTTGGGAGATCTGGTAACTAACACTGGCTCCTCTGAACATTTAAGGAGTTGCACTAAAGAAATTTTTTAATTGGCCACACAAGAAGAAATGAGGTAGAGCAGTGTAAGCCCCCCGAGATGCTCTTAAACAAGGCACTAATTATTTCTGCATTGCTGTCCCAAGCATTGCCATCTGCAGGGCTCTCTGCTGTGCTTTGCATTAGGCTTTCTTATTCTTGGTGGTCACTGCAGTGCCGAAAGATAGGCTGGCTGGGATTCATTTAGCTCTTCTTATCCCTACCAGACTTCTAAAGCCTCTGCTTCAAAAGAACTTGCTTTTGGTTTGTGTCTCTGGTTACTTCTGCCTCCTGCAGCTCGTTGATTTTTTAATGTACCATAATTGGGAATTAATCTGCGAACAACAGCATTTGGAAAAAATTAATTGTGTGTGGAATGTTTGATAATTATGTGCATATGTTAACCATTTCTTTGCTCTTTGTCATTTCAGGCATTGCTCATCGTGATCTGAAGCCAGAAAATATATTGTGTGAATCTCCAGAAAAGGTACTTAGGGCCCGATCTGAGACGTTACAGTTTATACTGATCTAGGAAGCCACCCTTGCTTTCCATATAGATTGTTAGCCATGCTCATGGCCTCGGGTACCAACTTGAACTGATGAGAATATTATAATACCTAATATGGAATGTTTCTATGATCCGAGTGTCATTAATCCTTGTCCCATCTATGCTCTTCATCATCAGTGTGATTGGCTTAAGTCAGAGTTTGTATTAATAGAATGTGAGATCCACACAAAATTAATATTTTCTAGTCCAGTGCATCTACCTTTGGAGCAGTTGATGTGAGTCATAAACAACTCAATCTTATATGGCACAGATCTCTACCTATAAATGGTATTTGTGTTATGGTGTATACCAGATGGTGTCCACCACTGGAAGTAATAATTAGGAACAAGTTCTTGAAAAGGACTTCTGTTTCCATTTTTATTTCCAAAGGTGCCCATTAAAAAGAAAACATTTATGCTTAGTGTTGAACAAATTCAACCTATTTTAAACGTTGCCTTAACTCAATCTACTAGTAACTAGAAGTATTTGCAATTCCGTTAGTGTATGACCCTGACAAATTCTGTGTTTATAGGAGGGATTTAGGTCCAAGTGGTATTGGGACCCATGTTCACAACTCTGCATGTGTGTACACATGTGTGTAAGCAAGAGCATGCGTGTCTTGGTCTGGATGAAGCCATGGCTCATAAATAAGGGGTGCTTGTGAGTGAATATGTGAATCCACCTACTACTCACACTCTTTTCTGGGGAATAATAATGGATTAGCTCAAATAAGATCATATGACTTCCTGTCACTCGTCTGGCATAGACCTTTATAATTTATCATTATTACTAATAATTACATTTAACATGTCTTGAGTGCTTGTATTATGTCAGGCACTTATTTAGTAATCTAAAGATATTGTGTGAAGTAGATACTATTATTATTTTCATTTCATGGATGAGGACACTGAAGCTCAGAGGTTAAGAAATTTGTACAGAGTCACTTAGCTGGTAAGTAAAAGAGCCTAGATTTCCATAGGTGCTCTCAACCACCTGTTACTGCCTCTGGTGTATAATGTGCTTTCGTGGCCTTTGTTTCACTTGATCTTCATGGTACAAGTTTGTTAATCCCTTTTTATGGTTGGAAAAACTAAAATTAAGAGAGACTAAGTGTCAAAGGGCATTATCAAGAAAGTAAAAAGATGTCCTACAGAATGGGAGAAAATATTTGCAGATCATACAACTGAGAAGGGTTTAATATCCAAAATATATAAGGGACTCCTAAAATTCAACAACAAAAAGACAACCCAATTAAAAAAATTGACAAAGGATTGAACAGACATTTTCTCCAAAGAAAATACACAAATGGCCAAAAAGCACATAAAAAGATGTTAAACATCCTTAGTCATTAGAGCAATGCAAATCAAAACCACAGTGAGATACTACTTCATACCTACTAAGATGGCCATAATTTTAAAAATGGAAAAATAACAAATGTTGGTGAGGATATGGAGAAATTGGAACCCTAATACATTGCTGGTGACAATGTAAAATGATACAGTCACTGTGGAAAACAGTCTGGCAGTTCCTCAAAAGGCTAAACACAGAATTACTATATGACCCAACAATTCCACTCCTAGGTATGTACCCAAAGAATTGAAAACAGAGACTCAAACAGATACTTGTCCACTAATATTCATTATAGCATTATTGACAATAGACAAAAGGTAGAAACAACCCAAGTGGCCATCAACAGATGAAATAAATAAAATGTGATACCCGCATACAATAAAATATTATTCAGCCATGAAACAGGGTGACATTTTGATACATGCTACAACATGGATGAACCTTAAAAGCATGCTAAGTGAAATAAGACAGACATACAAGGACAAATATTATATGGTTCCACTTATGTAAAATACCTGGAGTAGGCAAATGAATAAAGACAAAGTAGACTAGAGGCACTTGGGACCAGGGAGAAGAAGAATGGGAAGTTACTACTTAATGAACATAGAGTTTCTGACTGGAGTGATGGAAGAGTTTTAGAAACAGATAGTGGTAATATAATAGTTACTTAATGGCAATGACTTTTAAGTGCATGTTTTTCATATACAATTAAATATGGCTAAAATGGGCTGGGTGCGGTGGTGCATACCTGTAGGTCCAGCTACTCAGGAGGATGAGGCAGGAGGATCACAGTGAGCTACGATCATGCCACTGCACTCCAACCTGGGAGACAGAGTCTCTTTAAAAAAAAAAAATACTAAATAGGCATGTTTTGTATTTTATTACAATGAAAAAGAAAGGGGCCAAATGAAAAAGAAAAGAAGAAAAAGGGAGGGAGGGAATGAAGGAAGGAAGGAGAGAAGCTGAGGGACTTGCTGAGGCTTCCCAGCAGTAAATGGGTGAACTGGGACTCACAGAACCAGCATTTCAGCTCGCTCTGTGCTGCTTCCACCATGGAGGACGCTCTCACGTGTGCGCCCAAACCGCCCTCCTGGTTGGCTCCAGAGACAAGTCACCCTGTCTGGGTCTCAGGTGCAGCATCCAGTTCTGGTGGGGTTGGCCGCTGTGTCAATGCCGCCTAGAGGGACCAACCATCCCAGTTTTCCAAGGACTGAGGGCTCTCCTGGAATGCAGGGCTTTCAGTGCTTAAACTGAAAGAGTCCCAAGCAAGCACACCAGGATGCGTCGGTCACCCTCAGCCACTAAGGTGGCCAAGGGTTTTGCTCCAAGCTCCTTTGCCCTCCACTGAGTGGGCTGTGAGGAGTCTGTCTCTCAGGAATGCATGTGAACTCTTCTAGCTCCCGTGTTGCAGCCCACACCAGTGTTTGTGGGCAAGATTCCATACTTACGTTATGCTAAGTTCACGACAATCCAAACCGTATAGTTGCCCATTTTTCTCTTAGTTGGGAAATAAGAGAGTATGGGAAAGAGGACACCTTGGAAAAAGTCCTCTAGGGACTTCTCGTTAACAAAGGAGAGTGAATATGACCTGATAGATAAAGCCAGCTGCAGTGTGACAGTCACGTCGGGTTCCTCATGCCTGTAGTTCTTTTTGGTTTTTAAATAGGGTCTTGCTCTTCACTGGGACTGCAGGTGTGTGCTACCGCATCTGGCTAAATTTTTTATGTTTTGTAGAGACAGGGTCTCACTGTGTTGCCCAGTCTGGTCTCTAACTCCTGGGCTCAGGCGATCTTACCACCTCTGCCTCTCAAACTGCTGGGATGAGAGGCATGAGCCACTGCGCCAGCCCCTGTAGTTTCTTATACCTGTGACCTTGGCTTCTGTTTTCCTTTTTAGGTGTCTCCGGTGAAAATCTGTGACTTTGACTTGGGCAGTGGGGTGAAACTGAACAACTCCTGTACCCCCATAACCACACCAGAGCTCACCACCCCGGTATGTGTGGTTGGGTACCCTGTGCCACTTCCTTCTGGGCTCCTGTGCATTTGGAGTGCCCCCTGAGCCAAAGCTGGGGAGTCCAGAACAGAGGGCGAAGGAAGGGAAGCCGTGGTATTGAGTGGATCCCTCGTATCGAGTGGATCTATAGCACTTGCCACTGCCCAAGTTGTCATTTGGCTCATGGGCTCTGGACTCTGTATTACAGCTCCCAAGCCTGCCCCTGCCCCTTAGTTGCTAATGAAAGTGACATTAGGACTTTTAGTTTGGGATGGGTCCTCTCTGCTGATGAAGAGACAAATCGTAACTATAAGCACAAGCTAAGCCTTGACTCCTGACCCAGGTGAAAACAGACTCGACTCCCAGCCCCGTCCTTTTGCGTATGAGCTTGTGGATAGTTCCGTAAAGCCCCATCCCCATTGTGACGGAGGATGGGGGGCTCTCCTCCCCCACTGTGAAAAGGATAGTCTCTCTCTAGCGGGAAGTGTGAGGTCCCAGGCAACGTACAGGTGGGATCCCCAGGCCAGGTCATCCTGTTGCTTCTCTGACTTCACATTTCATGCCCAGATAGTGCTGCTGCTACCTCTTCCTAAGACATCTCTTGTACATACTTGATATACTATAATTATTATTATTCTTTTGAGATTTGCATGTTTCACAAGTAAATTCTCCTAATAATCCTTTTTAAGACATGCCTTTAAATGTGCCTATATTGTGTCTTATTCTAAGCAACATTATTAGGAATGTTTCTGTGTTAGCTTCTAACATGCTGGGCTACCTTGGTCTCAAAGTCATTAACCCTAATTGCTAATAACAAGGAAAATATCCTTTCTGAGAACACTTAACCTTCCAATCAAATTCATTTGGGAGAGTTGTTTCTTGGTGAGCCTGACATAATCAGGAGGCAGTGAAAAGAATGTGTTTTGTTCTCACCAGCAGTTTTCCGCAGAAGAGGGGAGGGAGGAATCCTGGGTTCTGGCCCTAGGTCTGCCACTGATGTGCTCAAACAGTCCCTATCCCTTTCCAGGTCCTACCTTTGCTACCTGTAAACAGGAGGGGTGGGAAGATCGGATCTGTTCGAACAGCTCTTCTAGCTTTGATGGTCTCTTAATTCTAAATTCTTGCTCATCCTTGCTGTGAGCTGGCAGGAGAGCTGGGCAGGATTCACTTTAGGAAATCCTTGCTGTGTGGAATTGGATCTCCACAGATCTCCCTCCCAGAGCCATATTCCTGGTACATTTAAGTACCTGTGCATGAAGTATCTGTTTCCGGAGAGCTGGGGCAGGGACAGATTCCTGGAGCTTTTTGGCCAAAGGCCTGCTGGAGAAGGACCTGCAAACATAAGGCTGCTTGGAGCTGGTCGTGTGGATCATGGGGGATGATGGGGCTCAGTTGACAAATGCTGGCTTGGCCCAGCTTCTCCGAGTGCCTTGGTGGCATCTGGTGAGCTCTCTGGCTGGCCTTGCTGATGACTTCCTGCTCTGTACCCCACCCCTCCATCGTCTCGCTGCAGTCCCAGCATAGTCTGCCCTCTGCCATGCCCTCCCGGTGACTGAGCCTCTCTCTCTGCCATCTCTCCTGCCAACCCCGGCCCCACAGTGTGGCTCTGCAGAGTACATGGCCCCCGAGGTGGTGGAGGTCTTCACGGACCAGGCCACTTTCTATGACAAGCGCTGTGACCTATGGAGCCTGGGCGTGGTTCTCTACATCATGCTGAGCGGCTACCCCCCGTTTGTCGGTCACTGCGGGGCCGACTGTGGCTGGGACCGGGGCGAGGTCTGCAGGGTGTGCCAGGTGAGTGCGGCCCCAGAGGCTGCTGCATAGGCCCTGCAGGAGGTCCGTGTGGTTGATGCAGCAGGACTGGCTGGGAGGGTGTTCCTGATCTGGAAGGGGCTTTATATTGCCCCCTCCCCTTCTGTCAGGGCAGCCACAGGGTAAAATAAAGATAATCAGGCACTCGGCCCAGCCAGGAGTTCAGGGAGGATTGTTAGAGAAGGTCATACCTGAACTGACTCTTAAAGGATAAGTGTTGCCCAGGGAAGAGGGGCGAGAAATACAAGTAGAAGGCACAGGCAGAGACAGGGGCGCGTGAAACAGCCCATGTGCACAGGGAGGAAGTGTGGTGTGTAAGGCGGCTGATGGTGGCGGTGAGGCCTCAGAGGGTCACAGAGGGCCCTCCAGGAAGGGCAAGGAGTGTGGGCTTTGTTCTGCGGGCGACGTTCCCACTCATCACCATCCAGTCCCCCAGGCAACACAGCCCTCCCGGCCTGCCACGGGCATTCTGTAGAGTTTGATGATTTAAGGGAGAGTGAGGCTGCGGGAAGGGGCCCTGGCTGTGGCATCCCAAGCCATGAGCCGCAGCTGTAGTTACAGCTGAGGTTGATTGAAGCCGGGTGATCAGATCAGTGACAGGCACATCCTGCCCATCCCTGGCCATGCAGCCTCAAGACCAATCTTCTTTACCTAGAACAAGCTGTTTGAGAGCATCCAGGAAGGCAAGTATGAGTTTCCGGACAAGGACTGGGCGCACATCTCCAGCGAGGCCAAAGACCTCATCTGCAGGCTCCTGGTGCGAGATGCCAAGCAGAGACTCAGCGCTGCCCAGGTCCTGCAGCACCCGTGGGTGCAGGGGGTGAGTGACCCCAGGTCTGCAGCATAGCCACGAGGAAGCACTCATACCAGCGAGTGCTAAACGCCAGCCAGGCGGCTGACCTCAGCTGCAGGGAGGTCCTACAGCAGCTCCCGTCCCTGTGCGTGGGTGGTGAACTGAATCCTCCCTTCGCCCAGGCTGAGCCACCTTATAGGCCATGGCCTTGGCTCTAACCGTGGCCACAGACTAACCCCCAACAGAGCCCTCGGGGGGATTTGGCACATGCATGCCAGCATTGGAAGAGCACCCAGCCCAGGAAGCAGCCTGGTGTCATCATTTGAGGCCCGCAGCACCACCCTCTTACACAAAAGCATCATTAGCTGAGAGCACCTGGAAGCAAGCATGGCATTGCGCTGTGGCTGTGATGAGGACGCATGGTTTCTCCTCACAGCCTCGGCTCAGCTGACCTGGAAGCCAAATGGTAGTGGTTTTCCCGGTGCTAAGGATCCAAATCTTCACTAGAAAATATTTTTTAAAATCCTCCTTGGTTAGTCACAATACCTGACCTCTTTCTCTCCAAGGGATCTGCCAGACTCCTTGGTGACTTGCTGTGTATCCTTGGTCTGCCAGGCCCTTGCCGGGCTCAGTGGCCCTGCCGGTGGAAGGAGGCAAGCATTGCCAGCCCACGTTACAGACAGGGACCTGATCCAAGAGTGTCCCAGGCTAGTTCCCAGGCACCCAAGTGCGCACACCTACTACACACCAGACACTGGCAGTGCAGGGACGAGCGAGACCCAGACCCTGTCACCATGCTCTAGTGGAGAGAGGTAGATAAGGGAGTAAGTTACAGGACAGTGCAATAAATGCTTATTAAAAGGGAGGTCTGTAGGGTGTGCCAGGTGAGTGCGGCCCCAGGGGCACAAAGGGACCAGGATCTACCTCTGCTCAAGTGGGTAGGGAGGTGGCAGGGAAGGCAGAATGCTTCCCAGGGGAAGTGACCCTTGGGGTGGGTCTTAGAAGAAGACTGGGACTCTGCTGAGCAAAAGGGGAGAGGGGCTCTCCATGCACATTGGGGGTCTTCAGATTGTACCTTTCTTGCTGTCTGCTTAGAAGGCCTGACCCTGCAGGCAAGCATAGCCACGTCCCTGTCCTGGGCCCAGAGCCTACAGTAACCCACCCACTCTGTGCTGGTCTGGCGGGGGGGCAGCCCTTAGAAGGAGGGAGCCGCGCTCACCCACACATCTGTCCTTCCCATTCTAGCAAGCTCCAGAAAGGGGACTCCCCACGCCGCAAGTCCTCCAGAGGTAAATGCTCACCCCAGCACCCTTCTCTCCTTGGCTTTGACTGTCCCTCAGGCTCTCAGCTAGGATGGGGGTGGAGATGAGGGACAAGGAGCCACCCCTAGGCACAGGTAGCCTTCCTTCTCCCTGCTTCCTCTCCTTGCTCCCTTTCCCTCTGCTCTAGATCTCTCTCTCTCTTTTGTTCCTCCACCTAGATTGCTTCCTCTGCCCTCCAGCACCTTTAAGGCCCCTCCTTGCACTGTTTGTCTACCCACTTGATTTGTAACTGGAAGTCACCACTTACAGCCCAAAGACAGACCAACCAAGGCTTCCCGTGCGCTGGCAGGTGGAGAAGCAGCAGGAGTGGGGCACCGTAAGGCAGTGGGACCAGTCATCACACACTCTACTAGACAGACAGTAATCATGGCCACTGTGTACTAAATTCTTGCCACATGTCAAGATGTGGTGTTAGGGGCTTTGCATATGTTATGTCCCTATCATCCCTATTTCATAGATGAGAAAACTGAGGGAGAGAGAGAGCAGGTTAACTTGCTTGGGGCCACACAGTAGCCCTGGCTGTGGACTCCAAAGCCTTCCAACAGCTGGACTACGTTCCCAGTGAGCACTGCCCTGTTGCCACAGGGCAAGGGCTAAGCGGTATGGGAAACCCCTCCGGAACCAGCCCTGTGGCTGGTTTTTAGGGGCTACACAGGGAAGTCTCACACCTCCGTAGTCTCGGGTTGTGGCTAGGAATGCTGTTGCCCAGTGTGGGTTCCTACCTGATTCTCCAGAGCTGCCCCCAGATGCTTGGAGGCACCAAACCTCAGACCCCACGTAGGAGATTTATGCAGCACACCCGAAGCGTTTGTTACACGCCAACCTTGAGCTGGGTTCTGGGGACACAGGCATAACTGGCACAGGCCCTGCTCTGGGAGCTCTGCCTTGATGGGGGAGAGGGAGAGACGGGTGAGTTTCGCGTGCCACAGCCCTTCCTCTGGTCGAGCTGTGTGCAGAGTTGTGGGAGCTCAGAGGAGGGTGTTCTGAGCAGAAGGGCGCGTTTGCCCCGACTGTCAAGTCCAGGGACCACACTTGGAGCTAAAGGCTGTTCTCGCCTCAGTCGAGCAAGATTTCAAACCCAGGCAAGAACTGCTTTGGAGAGAGCCTGTGCAGGCGCAGGGCAATCTGGTGGGCACGTAGAACCGCGGCAGCGAGCGGGAGTGCCAGCAGCTGGCCTGGCTGACCCTGAGCCCTGCCTCCCTCTTTCTGTGCCTTCCCCGGCCCCTGTAGGAACAGCAGCACAATGGACCTGACGTTGTTCGCTGCGGAGGCCATCGCCCTTAACCGCCAGCTGTCACAGCACGAGGAGAACGCACTGGCAGAGGAGCCAGAGGCACTGGCTGAGGGCCTCTGCTCCATGAAGCTTTCTCCTCCCTCCAAGTCTCGCCTGGCCCGCCGGCGGGCCCTGGCCCAGGCAGGCCGCAGTGGAGATGAGGGACCGTGCCCGACACCCGCAGCATTCTGAGCCACTCTGGTCACACCTCGTAGACTCCAGGCCTATCCATTCATGGCCCCTGTGGAAACCTGTGTGGCCAAAGTTGGCAGAAAGGCAGTGGGGCCTGCACTGTGGCTCCATCAGGCCTTTTCTCTACAAAGGCCCTGAGGTTCCCACTCAACCCCCTATTTCCCCAGGGTCCTGGAGGTAAAAGCTTTTTCCTAAGGGGTTGTCTTTGAAAAGGAAAGCAATCACTTGTCACTTTGCATAATCGCCTGTGGCGGGAACATCTCTTTGCTGGGCTCCACCTGCTCACCCGCCTGCGGATACGGATCCAGCTCTCACCGCTGGGAGGCGCTGGGGCTGCAGCCTTCAGGGAGCCAGCTTCCAGAAGCCAGGAGCATCCGTTGACAGCATCCGTTGACAGCGGCCTCTTCCCTCTCTGCACTATCACCCTCCTCTGGTCGTCCTCCCACCTTCCTCTGTCCTCCGCATGTCCTCTTTGCCTGTCCTCTCCCTTGGCTGAGCAAAGCCATCCCCTCAATTCAGGGCAGGGCAGGAGCCTTCCTCGTTCAGGAAGCCAGATCAGTCTTCCAGTGTGTAGCACAGAGAAGCACATAATCTTTCTTCGCCGTGACCGAAATGTGCTCCTCATTTATCATCCTCTTCTTCGTTCGTGATTGCTGCTAAAGTCCGTATGTCATTTTTATAAAGTTTATTTTGAACCAGGCTCTTCCAGCAAAGGTGGGACTTAAAACTCCCACCGCAAGCCCGCGGACTTCCCAGAGCACGTAACGGCTTGCTCTTCTTTCAGGAATGTCCACGCGTTTAGGTTTTCATGAGCTGTTCCCTGTCATTCTAACTGGTTTCGAGCTGTTACTGTGAGGAGCAACTTAGGGACAGTGGAGACAGTGTTGGTGTCAAGTCTTGCATGGAGGGCGGCGCAGGACTGGGCAGTTCGATGGAGCCCTGCGCCAGAGGCCAAGCCAGGTTAGAGCAGCCCCAGACTGCATGAAGGTACAGCCCCCGTCACAAGAGCTGAGCTATTGATTGACATAAAGAAAATAGATTTGCACATGTCAGACGTTTATACAACACAAGGATGGTTTTATACATTGTGCTTGTTTTAATAAAACTTAAATTCTAACTGTGGCCTACTCGGGTGGTCCATCCTTTACCTGCAGAGCTGAGAAGGAGGCAGGCCTTCTGCACGGGGGCCGAGTCCAGCCAGGTGGGGAGAAGGTGCCCCTTGTCAGGACCCCTAAATAGAAAACCACATTTGGTCTGCACAACAAGGTGAAGGAGATACTGCTTTTCTTTTTTAAGTAAGGAAATGAAATTCCTTTATCAGTCACTTCTGTGCCAGGACCCCAGAGGTGAGTAAGAAACGGCCTCTGCTTTTTGGAGACCCCCACCGAGCAGTAGAAGTGGTGTCAGCTGTAATACGGTGACACAAGCAGACTTCAAAACGTGCTTTAATAGATGTCCCTTTACCCATTCAGCCACAAGCAGGGGAACAAATTTACCCTGTGTCTAAAGCATTACTAAGCCTTTATTGAGAGCCTGTTGTGTGCCCGGGACTATGCTGTCCTGCCAGAGTTGGCAAGAAAGAAAAGTGGTGCCTCCCAGCCACGGCCCTTGTGTATGCAAAGGACCTTCGTGTCTGTTGTCCCATGTAATCCCCAGTGCCATACTGGAGAGGGCTGGGCTGGAAAGGACCTTTATAAGTTCCCAAGGAGGTGGCAAGAGGGAGGTGAGTGTCAGGGCAGTAGACTGCGTGCCGATGACAGCTGTTTCCCTTGGGAGAGCAGAGAGGGAGATGGGCTTAGGGGCTCTTCGCTGTCCTACACCATGGATGCCTCCACATTAATGATGACGTACCATTTTTTGACAGTGTTCCCTTTGCAGTAACCCTGACCATCCTCACATCCTTTCTTCCGCCAGGGCAGAGGGGGTGGTGGTCGGCTGGAAAAACAGACCTGCAGAATCTGAGCTTCTTGGCCCAAAGTCACCTAGCCTCTGGGGATCCAGGGTGTGAGATGAGTTCTGCCCTGGACTCCAGCCCCAGCCTGGTCAGTCTTTCCCCAGGGCCCAACAGTAGTGTAACTTCAAGGGGCTTCCTGGGTTAGGCACTGTCCTCCCTACAGCCCTGGCCCACACCCTGTCCTGCTGCAGCTCCCCCGTGTGTTGGCTCCAGTGTGTTGTGCCCTCTCCCAGCCACCTGCCCGCTCTGGTCATCCTCCACAGCTCTGCTGAAATGCCACTGTACCTACTCTGGTTTTGCTGGCATTGTTGCACACTTACTGAGTAACAGGTACTTTCTAAGAAGTTTACAGGCATTAGCATTTAATTCTCACAGCAGTCCTGTGAGGTGGGTACTATTATTTTACCCCACTTAACATGAAAAACCAAGCAGAGAAAGGAAGAATAGTGTGCCCAGGGCTGTACAGCTAGGAATGGCGGAACTGGAATTCCTTCCAGAGAGGCCTGGGCCCCAGAGTCCTGCTGCCTGTGTTCAAATCCCAGCTCTGCCACTTACTAGCTTTGGACCTTGGGCAAATTACTTAATCTCTGAGAGTCTCTGTTTCTTCAGGTGTAAACGGGGGTGACAGTGCTTACCTCATGGTACTGTGCGAAAGTTCCAAATTAACAAACGTAGTGTTGCGAGCAGTTCCAGGCACGTGTAAGTGCTCCACAAATGTTAGTTATCGCATTTTAGCTATACAACAGTCCCCTTATGCATGGTTTCGGTTACCTGCCGCCAACCGCCCTCCGAAGGTAGATGAGTACAGCACAGTAAGATATTTTGAGAGACTACAGTCACATAACTTTTATTACAGTATATTGTTATAATCTATTTTAGTTAATCTCTTACTGTGCCTAATTTATAAGTTAAACTTTCTCATAGGTGTGTATGTACAGAAAATTGCATAGTATTTATATAAAGGGTTCAGTACCATCTGCAGTTTCAGACATCCACTGGGGTCTTGGAATGTACCCCCCTGTGTAAGGGGGGACTACTGCGTTTTACTGTTGTCTCGAAGGGCAGAATTATTCAACTCACGGTCCCCCCTCCCCCTTCCCTGGCTCAGGGAGCCCTGTGTAGAAGTGCTGTGTAGTGTGCAGATGGATCTGGGCCTTTCCAGCTGAGCCAAGCCTTTGGCCCTCTATGGGATCCTCCTGTTGGGGGGCTGCCCTACTCCTCTGGGCTGGAGTCCCTGTCCCAGAGGGGCAGCTGTGGCACCAGGGGAGGAGCCTGAGGTTGGGACCGGGGGCCCTGGGTTTGAGTCCTGCCTCTGCCACTATTCACCAGGTGACCTTGGAAAGTCCTGGCTTGGCTGGGCAGAGGCAGATACGCTAGATGCTTTGCGGGAGGCTCTGAGACCTGCTGGGTGAAAGCCAGTTCCCAAGCGCTAGGGCTCACACTTGGGCTGGGCCTTAGAAAGAGAGAGCTGGTCCCAGTCAGGTGGGGTGTCTCAGACTTCAGGCCTCTTTCATCAAATCCAGTTAGGAGGTCTTGGCCCCAGTCCCAGTCCTGGTTCAGGCAGACCCTGAGGACCCCTGTCTGATGACTTCTGGGCACAGAGATCACACAGTCTTTGCCCCTCTGTGTGTCTACCTGCCGGAGCGCTGGGGCCCCTCCTCCCTCCTGGCCAACTGCCCCTTGTCAGACCCAGCTCCACAAACAGCAGTGCCTTGGTCCCATGCCAACTGCTCCAGCTGCTTCAGGTCTGGAGGGGGCTGAGGAGCAAGGTCCCCCCAAGGCTGGCACTCCTGTTGCCATGGTAGCAGTTGCCTTGGAAGCGTTTCCCTGACTTCAGCTTCTGAACAGTCCAAGAAAGCTGCCTGTCCCCCGGGGGATTGGAGAATTAATCACGGTCTTTTCCAGTGTTCCTACCCCTCAAGGAAAAGAAACAGAACCAAACCAAGCTGGGGCCTTCTCACCTACCCTTCCTCCCCACCCCCCACGCCGTACTTGGACTTGGTGCTCTGAGAAGGAAAGAGAACAGGCAGACACCCTGCAGCCCTCGCCTCACCAGGAGACACAGAGGAGAGATTTTGTGATGGAACCCAGCAATGTGTCCCTGGCCTCGCCACACCTGAGCACTGCGGTCTTCAGGAGGGCCCAGGCTTAGGCGAGGAGGCGCCGATGCTTGTGAGGGGTTGGGGATGGGTGGGGGGGCTCTGGTGCCTGGAGCATCCATCTCAGTGAGGCCCCCAGAGAGAGGTTCCTTAACTCATTCACCTCTTACTGCAAGCACATCACCCAAGGGCAGGCACGCACTCTCTTTTGCAGAGACGATATGGCTGCATTGAGGAAAGCATAGGTAAGCCGCCCTCTCTACTTTTGTAATCCGTGAAGGAGCCTTTACTGATGCTCCTGGTCACAAGGGAAAGCTGCAGGCCTTGACTCTTTGAACACAATGTCTCCCGTTCAGGGCGGGGTTGCCCATCCCTTCTGCCTCAAATAAGACACTTGAAATTCAGGGGCAGAGATATGCTTCAGGACTTCCCAGCTGGGCAGGGCCCTGGGCACGTAGGTTCCTTCGAGGACTCTGGGACAACTCCTGTACCTCCCTGTCTTGGTTTCCCCATCTGTTCTATAAAGGAGCTGGGACGGCTCTCTGGCTCTGTGATCTTGCAACTGATAATGGCTTAATGTGTCTCTCCATATTTCCTCCCCTGAGGGATTGACGATGTCAAAGAAAAGTTTTGCTTTAGAGTTTAGTCTCCAGTTTGGGGAGGTTAGAGTGTTTTCTGGAATCTAAAACAGTGCCCTGCCTCCCTGACTCCAGCCTCAGCCAGCCCCTCCCCATCACCAGGTGAGGGAAGTCCGCTCAGCGGGGTGGAGTGGCCCAAGTGCCACAGCACGGGGTGGGAGACACACCCCAGGAGCTCTGCCATGCTGATGGGGTGCCTTAGACCACAAGAGGAGCCAGCCCAGGCCTCGCCCAGCCCAGAGTTACACAAACCAACCCTGAATGGGGAAGCGGGGGTGGGGGCATAGTGGAGGGTGCTCAGGTCCCCGAAGCTCGACCTCTCAGGAACACATTTTCATGGACAATTATTTTGGCAGCTCCTTCTAAAACTAGTCAGTGGGGGATCAATTACATGTGACAGAGACATGGCTGTCATTTGGAGCCTAATTAGAAGAATAATCAGACTTCATCCTGGCAGGAGGCACAGGGGATGTTGGCAGCAGCACTACGGCTGGGGAATGTCCTGTTCCAGGGGCTTCCTCTTTATGGGGACCAAGAACATGACCTGAGGGCCTATCCGTGCTCTGCGGTCACCCCTCCTCTCTAGAGGAGGGCCTCACCCAGGCCTCTCTCCAGCTTCCTGGCAGTGAAGATGAAGCTCCACTCAGCTGACCCTGGGGACTTCTTCGGCCCCGCTCCACACCCAAGGACTCTTGTCAGAGACAGAGCTTCCCTCATGCCCACAGCCCTCCTCTTTGCCGACCCAAGGTGGTTGTGCAGGTCCAAGCCCTCTCCCTGAACTCCGTGCTCATGTCAAGAAGCCTAGCCCCGGTCCCTGCTGGCCATGGCATTCTGTGGCGCTCACTCCCAGAACCTGGAGGGGTTCCCAGTCTCCAGAGGACACAGAACAAGGACAGCTAGTGGGCACTTCATTGTGGGGCCATGGGAACAGGAGCAGGGTGGTCAGTAAGGGCCTCACAGAGTTGGGGCTGGCCAGGCAGGGTACGAGTGGATGAGGAGGTGTTTTCCAGACAGCAGGGAGGGCAGGAAAGGAGAGGAGAGGGCCGAGGGGCAGGGCAGCTGTGGAGGCAGGTGGAGGCAGGAGGCCGTGGGCCTGGCTGCATGGGACTGCACGTGGTGGGAGAGAGGCCAGTGGCTTCAGTGATAGGACTCTGAGCAGGGTGATGGGACCCTCAGAACTGTGCCCAGGTGCAGGGCCAGGCCAGGGCCATATTCTGGGATTGGAGAGACCCTGATCCATAAAGGGCCAAAGAATGCAATTAATGACGAAGGCTGGAACTGGGCACCAGGGGCAGGGCTCTGGGCTGGGCTGGGTTGGGTTTCCACTGCCCAGACTCGGTTTGGTGGATCCTGTAAGTAGGTCAGACACGCTAGGTAGAGGTGCTCACTCCAGGAGGTCAGAAGGTGCCAACCAGGCCCCAACTTCCTGCCTCTGCCTCCTGGCCCCCCAGCCCCTGACAATTCCTCTGCCCGGCCCTCGTCTCCGGTGTTTCCTCCTGCCCATACCCACCACCGCCACCGCTCCTCCCTGTCAGTCACGGCCGGGGACCCCAGGGCAGCCAGCAGGTTCACCCTCTCATTCCACTGGCAACGAAAAGGGGGTGGGTACCAAGCCCACCTGAGGAGAAAGGGGTCCCCTGAGAACAGACTAGGAGCCCTCAGCCCTTCCTGGGAGCCCAAATGTGGACAGGATGGGGGGGCAAAGCAGGGGCGGAGAGTGGACTTGGAGGGACACCTCTCACTCCCCTCTTCCTGCCCCGGCCACACTTCCTGTCTCGAGCTGCATCCAAGTCTCCATCTCTGCAACTATCAGTGAGGCCCCAGGGGCACCTCAGGCCGAAGGGCAGAGGACAGCACAGGGACCCCGCAGTGTGCGTCCGGGAGGCTCTTCACATCCCTGGCTTCTGAGCCCCGTGTGAAGCCACCAGTTCATTCTCCCCCCTCAAGAACCAACAGTGGAACCTGGCTGACTGCCTACTGGGCCTCCGGGACCCAGGCAGCGGCTCGCATTGCAGCCTCATAAATAACTCAGCACCTGCCTCCTGCCACACCTCTGAGGAACCCTGTCCCCTGGACCAACTCCCCCCGGCCCCACCTCTCATGCTTTAGGCTTCCATAGGCCGAGGCTCAGCGGCAACTGAGCAGGCTCCAGGCAGCTGGGCAGGATGTCCTGGGCAGGGGGGCTTGGGCTCTCCTGGGGGGAGGCAGGCAGGGGAGGATCCCATGTGGATCCCTAGAGCTCTGGCAGCTGGAGCGAGAATGTGTCCAGGCAGGGGTCCCAGGAGTGGCCTCCAGCTTCAAAGGCCTTTAGGGGAGGAAGAGTAAGTGGGGGTGACCTGGTGGAGATCCCAGGTCCAGGCGGGGCTGGGAGAGCTGTGGATAGGACCGCAGACTACTACAAGGGTTCCCAGCCCAGAGCCCTACTGCCCAGAAACTCCCACCCTGAAGGTGGAGCTCCAACGAGGAGACATCCGAGAGGACAGAGACCTCCGGGACATTTCGGGGACAGCCCTCACCAGCTGGAGGCCCTGCCCTGGGTAGGCCTGCATGGACATCCCCGGCAGCAGCAGAGACCTTCGCTGCCTGCAGCTGGCCTGTGTGGCCCTCGGCCTGGTGGCCGGCAGCATCATCATCGGCGTCTCCATATCCAAGGCTGCAGCTGCCGTGGGCGGCGTCTTCATCGGTGCTGCTGGGCTGGGTGAGCAGGTGCCCGGCGGGCTGGGGTGGGGGGACTCTGGGGAGAGGAGCAGGGGCAGGGTCCCGTGAAGGAGAAATGGAGGGAAGGGCTGGGGGGATGGAAGCTGGAGGCCTGAGCGGCAGCCTCAGGAGCACCGGGAGGGGGCAGGGACTGGAGGGAGGCTGTCTGTCACACTCCTTTCTGGCTGTTCCCCTCTGCCCTCCTGGGCTCTTGGGTTTGTGGTGGGATTCCTCAGCCTGTCGGAGGTGGGGCGGGGGCGATGGGGCAGGAGTTCCAGAGGATCCTCTCTGAGCCCAGACAGGCTGCAACTCAGACGGTTTCCTCTTCTTTCCTGATTTGTCTCCACCGCAGCCCTGTCTGTGTGTCTGTCTGGGCCAGGCCCACCAATATCCCTGCAGTGATGCCAAGTGCCATTCCCCACCCACCAGCCCTGAGCCAAAAGCAGAACCAGAAGCACCGGACAGGGGGCTCTGGTCACCTGCACCAGCAGATGCTGGCAGACACTTGGTCTGGGGGTGACGTGGCGGTGAGCAGGGCAGGACTCGCTCTACTGCCCACCCCCTCCCCAGATCTGGGTGGGGAGGGGCTGAGATGCTCCCAGTCCGCCTGAGGGGCCCTAGGAAGGGTGGGACGAGGGAGAGTTGGGGGTGGTGGCCTCTCGGCCCATTTCCAGCAACCTGCTCTCTACCGGGGCAGGGTGGAGCCAGGGGCCTGGCACTCCACTCCCCTTCCCCAGATAGACGCTGCCCCCCAGCCCGGGCTGCGTGTCGGGGCGTGCCAGGGTGTGCCCCATGCACACACCCACAGGCTCACGTTTACACACACAGTTCCAGTCCTGCACACTGTGCCCTCCCATGCACACCCATATCCCTGCACAAACCAACCCCCAGGCTCACAGCCCAGCCACACTCACCAGGCCCCCTCCCCATCACAGAACCCCCATGCATCTCTCTTCTCAGGGATCCTCATCTTGGCCTACCCCTTTCTGAAGGCTCGGTTCAACCTGGACCACATCCTGCCTGCCATAGGTGAGTCCTCCCCCCGCCCCAGCAGACTCCTCTGCCAAGGGTTGTGAGAGACCCTTTCTGTGTAAGTCCGTGACCCACTGTGCGGCTGGGTCGAGCCCACCAGCCCACGTGTGAGACTGCTGCTGGCTGGCTGTGTCAGAGTCGCCGTGTGTTGTGCGGGCGTTGCCATGACTGCAATGTAGCAGAATCCAGCCTGCTGCATGCTGCAAAGGTGCCTGAACCAGCTCAGAGAACCTAGAGTGTCCACCTCTCTTAAGAGATTTTCCCTCTCCCCTGAAGCCTCCAACATCTCCAGATAACTCCCTCTTCATCCCTGAGCCCCATAAAGACCCTCCATCTCCCTTAAGACCTTACAAACTCTGCACAGCTCCCAGCCTCATCTCAGCTTTCCACACACAGACTCCCATCTCCATCAATCCTGCGGGGCTTTGCATGTCCCCAGTTCTCCCCAGGGCCCCCACCTCCCTAAAAAGTCTGCCATCTTCTCCTTCAAGGGCCCATTTCTTCTGTCCCTCCCCAAATCAGCGCAGATCATGTGAGAGACCTAAAGGAATGCAGCAGAATAAAGACAGCAGGAGGGATGGAGATTAGACAGCAGGAAGGACTTCTCTTTTCAAGATGGGCTTGATTTGGGAATGGCTTATTAACCAGGGAGCTTGGGGTGGTCTCATCCTACAGGGAGCCTAAGAATCCACCCCCATCCAGGGCCAGACCAGGGGGAAGGAAGATCCAGCACCAACGGCAATAAAGACGGTAAGTTCCAGAAATTCCAGAGTCCCTCTTTCAGTTTCCCTCTCTGACTGTGTGGGGCCCAGCGAGCAGCCCTGCGGGGCATGCAGACGGGTCTCCCCCAACACGGAGCCAGTGTCGTTGGGTAGTTCTTCATGGGTTCCGTCAACCCTTCTTGCTCCAAGCTGAACTGATCACCTCTTGTTTGTCCTCAGGGCTTCTGAATCATGCCCAGCAGGACACTGGGACAGGGGACCTCATTGCCCCCTCTGCCTCCCCTAGGTCCCATGCCCCAGTTTATCCTCCCACTCCCCTCTCCCATGTGGAATCCAACTCTCTGAGCTGGTGCCCGAAGTTGGGCATCTCCTTGTCCCCCTATCCCCACACACTGAAAGGCAGGAGTTTCTCGAAGATGGCCCCAGCCCAGTGTCTGCCACCAGTGGTAGGACGCCTAACACTCAGCAAAATGTCCCATTCCAGACACTGTTCCAAGCACTTTACATACATTAACTCATTTAAGTCTCACGACAACCATACGAGGGAGGTATTACAATGAGCTGCATTTTATGTATGGGGCAGCCGAGGCACAAGGCGATTAGGTGGCATGCTGGAGGTCACACAGCGAGGCAGTGGGAGAGCCAGCAGGCAGCTCCAGAGCCCTGCCGCTCCCCCCAGCCCCTGCTGCTGCCCTCTTGAGGAGCCATCCTGACCATGCTGCCTCTCTGAACTGGGCTAAAACTGCCCCTGGGACGTCCATCGCTCCTCATTCTGTCCCAGCCCAGCCCAGCCCAGCCCTGGGGTCACTGGGCACTCTGACCTCAGGTTCCTTTAGGTTCCTCTGACCCTGACAGCTCTGTGGGGACCTGTTTGCTCAGGCAGCCTTTGTCCCTGATCTCTCCCCCAGGAGCCCGCAGTGGCCTGTCCACCGTGAGCAGGACCCTGGAGAAGCTGAAGCCCGGGGGCCGAGGGGCTGAGGAGTCCTGAGGGCTGCCCCTGCCCTCCCTCCCTCCTGCTGCTGCCCCTGTCTCAGAGCCCTCCTGGCTCAGAAGACCCAAACCAAAGACGAACCAGGCCCTGGAGCCGCCACAGCTGCACTCACCCGGCCAAGGCTCTTCGGAATGGGTGCCACTGGCACGGGTGGGGTCTGGAGCAGGTGTCACCAGAACCGCCCCACAAGGGCTCCCTTGTTGCAGCTCTTAACCTGGCCTTACCTTTGCACTGCGGCTCAGCTTCGTTCCCTCTTCCATCTACTGACTGGTTTCTCTGGAATTTAGGGCCCAGGGCCCTGACTACGACCAGGGTACCCCAGCGCTGTGCTTCATCCTGGCTACGGAAGTGGACCACGGGCCCACAGGAACCGCAGACGGGGACTCTGGGCCTGGCCCTGGGGCTCTAGAGCTCACCAGCCAGATAGAGGGGCTGGGCCACCTTTTCAGAACATCAAAATCTCCTGGGCAGTTCCTCAGGGACAGGCTCTGAGCAGCAGTGAAGCAGACAGGGGAACCTGAGGGATTCCTGGTCCCCAGAGGAGAGAGACTCACAGAGAGACAGACAGCCTGGCCTGGGAGTCAGAGGAGGCGACTTCCAAGCTGAGCCCTGGGACTCTTGGTGTCTAAGTCCCCCACGCAAGGCCTCCAGCCCTCCCTCTTCCCCCATCGTCTCACTGCCCCCTGAACCAGCGAAACATTCCTGCGAACAAGCCTTGGGGCTCAAGAGGGCCGCCCCGCTCCTCTCTGCCTGTCACACCTCCCCACCTTTATAGGTGGAAAATCCCCTCACCACATGCTCTCCTCACCCTCCTCCACTGGCCTCTTGCTTGACGCCCTCTCCAGGCAGGTTTGGTCTTTTCTCACAGAACCATATTAAGCCCACGTAAACACACTGAATGTTGCCCCTTTTCCAGTCCCCAGCACCAGGCAAGGCACACAGTAGGTGCTTAATAAGTGTTAATGGCTTAAATTTAATGTAAAAGCAATTCCCCAGGCTTTCCCTGGAGAGCCACTTCAGAGCCCCACCTACCCACAAGGTTTGGGGCGAGGAGGCCCCGTATGTGTACAGAAAGCAGTGCTCCTCCCTCCACGCCTGCACCCTCCAGGCGTAGCAGAGTTGTTTGACCTCTACAGAGACACCCACTCTATGTGGCCTCTGTCCTGGTTTGGTGAGCAGAAAGCAAACTAGAAATAGTCTCATTCTTTCAGGATCAATGCTGATGACACCTCCTCTTGGAAGCCTCCCTGACTTCACTGTGCTCCCAAAGCCCCAGGCTTCCCTCCATCACAGCCCAGTCATACTGAGTGGCCCTTGTCTATTTCCCCTCTTGAGAGTGGGAGCAGAGGGCCAGACACCCAGGAGGCACCCAGTGGATGTTGGAAAACCAAACCAAGTTAGGAGAGCCCATCTCGTGCAGATGGGAGAGCTGAGGCCCTGCAGAAAAGAGCAGCCATGGCGTCCCACAGTGAAAGCCCCTAACCCAGCCCTTGCACCCGGTCTATCTCTCCCCACCCAAGGCTCTCGCCTCTGCTGTCCTCTGCACAGGCCACAGGGATCCACTCCCTGACCACAGTGGGACAGACCTCCATGAAGGGGCTAAATTTCACAAATGCTGGCCAGTTGTGGAGACTTTGCTTCCTCCAGCTGAGGGAAGTCGACTTCCTCCCTCCTTGAATGTCCCTCTTCTCCGCCTTGCACCTATTCCCTGCTCCTTCTCCTTTCCTTCCTCTTTTTCTTCAACATCATCATCATCAACAAGAAATCGGGCCTGGTGGCCACTCCTTGATCAGTGAGGAAACCGCTCCTCCTATCCATCTTCAGTCCTCACGTCGGTACCCCAAAGAGATGCCCAAAGGTGGAGACTGGGGGTAGGCGGGGTGGAGCCTGAACTGTGGGGAGGGTGGTTGCCCACCCCCACCCACCATCAGCCCCTTTCAGCCTCACTCTCCCTGAGGCAGGGCTATGGAATCCCGGATGCCTGGCAGGATCAGGCACAGAGAGGTGCTGGGGGATCGAGGTGAATAAATTAAGGAATGAACACACGTAAAGGCGAGAGCTGTATCCATTGAGGAAGACTGGGTGAGGGTTCAAAGGACCCTGGAAACTGGGTGGGAGGTCTCAGGGCCGGGGCCTCCAGTTTCCTTTCTTTTCCCCTGCTGTGTGCTTCCTGAAACCTCCTTCCCTCCAATTCAGATGAATGTCCAGATACATCCGCCCCAAGTGTACCTCCGCCCCAAACCTCCCCACCCTCACCCCCATCACAGGAGTGGCCACGTGGGGACGTGTGCCTTCTCCCCTTCCATGGTTTGAGAAAAGGTGAGGTTGGGCCAAGCAGGCAGCGTGGCATGGCAGGTAGTGTTAGGGAGATGTGCCCTCTCACTCAGCAGCAACGGAACCCTCCGATATGCCAGCATGGGAGGGGTGTGGACAGAGCCGAGTAACTGCACGCAGCTCTTCCAATACTCCGTTTAAGAGATGAAATTGGTTTTTTCCAATAGCCATGCTGACACCTCAACTGTGTCTGGCCCTGGGCTGGGTTCTGAGAACACAGCAGTGAACCAAAAGTGGAGAATGCTTGGTCCAAGAAGCCCCCTTGAAGCCACATCCCTGCTGGGCCACCCTGGAGGAGGAGTGCCCAGGCTGGCGCTGGAGTCTAGAGCTAAGACTTGCATCCTGGTTCTGCTCCCGACAGGGGCTAGGGCGAGAGGCTGCAGGGTCTTGAGTATGGATTTCCTCATCTGCAAATGGAGGGTGGCTGTAGTGCTTCCCCATCAGGGTCACTGTCGGGAGGAAGGTTGCCTGGCACATGGTCACAACAGGTGGGGTGTGTGAATGGACGGGTGAGTGAACGAAGGCGGAGGCTGGAGGAGATGATTTCAGCTGAACTCCAGCGTCTGGAAAGTCAGCATCGCGGATTCCCACCCAGTCCCCTCTCCAACACAGTCCAGCCTGGAAGCAGGCCTGCCCCTCCCCACCCATGCTCCTACACATCCCACCAGGAGACAGAGTCACCCCCTAGGCGGGCTCAAGGCTACACCCTTTTCCAGGGTGCAGGATTGGTGGAAGTTGAATGGGGAATGGGTGCTGAAATCAAGTGAAATCGAGCCCCGTCCCTGGAAAAACCTCCCTGACCCCAGAGCTCCAGCCCAGGGCAGGTGCAGCAGAGCCCGTGCGACCTGCACGCACCCCTCGCCCTAGCGCGAGTTGCAGTGTATCCACGCGGGGCTCTTGGAAGGTGTGGGCGGGCTAGGAGTTATTTGCAAGGGTGCTTGCAAACCGCGAAACCTAGAGAAGGGAAGAAGGACGGCACGGAGCTGGAGAGGAGAGGTACGTGGTGAGAACGCCTGTCCCCCTCCACCCGCCCCCCGCGACGCTCTGAGAGGGGCTCTGGTGGTGGCGGGAGGCCGCTGGGGACCCGCGCAGGCCCGCGCTCCCGCCTGCCGCCGCCGCGGGGGCTGCTCCGAGGGAGCCCAGCCTGAGCCCGAGCGGGTCCCAGCCCAGGGCTGGCCGCCCCCAGCCTCCCACCGGCTCATCCCAGATCTCCAAGCGG